CCTGACCTCCTCGGTCGCGCACTGCAGCGCGGACCAGTTCTGCCGCACGGCGGCCAGGACCACCTCGGGGTCCGCCCGCAGCTCCGCGGGCGCGTGGCGCAGCTGCCGGCCGTCGCCCCGCACCCGCTCGAGCCACTCGGCCTGGAGGGGCGGGCGCCGCACCAGCGTGAGCTCCGCCTCGCGGGCCGCCGGGTCGCCCACGGCGGCCGCCAGGGGGTCGCCGTTCCCGAGCTCCTGCTCGGCAGCGAGCCCAGGGGGGAAGTGAGGGGATAGGGGGGAAAGAGCGCGTATGCTCACGATTCGCGATTCCGGGCGATGCGGGGGATGCCCCCCCCCGGACCCCACCTGGTACCGTCACGGTTCGCGCCAGCGACGTGAGGGAATTGCTTGGGGCTGCTGATTCCCAGGCGGCGCTGGTGGGAAGCATAACGTTACCAGCCCCCCCCCCCTCCGGTACTGGCCGTTATCGCCAGGTGATAAAAAATCGGTCCTGAAGATACCGATGCCGCGATCATTCTCTCGTTTTCGCCCGCTTGGGGGCCTCCTGGGAGGCCCTCATCGCCACTGCCAGAGTTGCCTCGGAGTTCTGGTGGGGGCGCACCCCAGGAAAGGTCTCGGGACGGTATCGGTATCTGATGGTTTCCCCACAAGTGCGCTCGAGGCAGGGCAGGCCTTGTCAGAAATGCGGCGGGGCCTCTCAGAAGACACCCCCGGCCTTCTGAAAGGCCGTTTGTGGCTTCGGAGAATGCCTGCAAGGATTCTGAGAAGGCACGGGGACTCCTGAGAAGCGCCGCCACCCTCTGAGAAGGCATGCCCCGCCTAACTTACCCCTCTGGGTTCGCCGCGAACCTTCGTGCCGCAGAGGAGCCGCTGCTCGCGCTGGGCGATGCCCCACGTGCGCTCCAGGTGCGCCTTGACGTCCTGGCGGGGCAGTGGCCAAAGCGCGTGAGCGCACGGATCGCCACGTGCTGCAGGTTCGGCCCCGCAAGCGCCACACGTATCCTTATACCTTTCTTGGGCAGTAGGGCAGCAGGCGTCTGTCGGGCTGCACCAGCGCTTGGCCAAGCATGTGCGCATTCGCTGCCGAGCACACAGGCCATGCCGAATGTGCCCACGTGAGGCATCTGCACGAAGCATGCGACAAGGTGACAGACCTGTCTCCAATGCGCGCGCCAAGAAACTGATCAGCTAGCTGCTGATGCTTAGGCACAGTGCTACTGATGCAAACGCAACACGCGACAGACCACGCTGCTTCCCGTGCAGCAACAGCACACGTGTTCGATGCTGGTAGCAAGTGCAGGCGCACCGTGTTTCTTCATACGCTCCAGCAAAGGCTTGAAGAGGAACGTATACACAGCATCAGCAACACAAACTTAGAGCACACTTTACTGGCGCATGACACCCACGAAAATGATACCGACCCGCCGGCCCAGCCGCGGCGCCACAACTAAACAAACTGAGAAGCAAGGGCGCAAACCGACAGTAAACAGGACGGTGGCCACACGGGAACACAACACTCACCTGTTGGATGGGGCGCATCACAAACAACTCACTCTGACGCGGGACCAACATTAGACCCACTTGAACGCCACCCTACTTGCAGGTGGGTGGCTGACTGAGTGACTGACTGATTCACAGTGACTCTATCATAATGACCAGCGAGAGGTGCAACTGATGTTGCTTGAAATCCGCGGTGCCGCACAACACAAGCGATAAGGGCGAATGGCGAATGCCCGTGCTTATGCTCCTTTCTGTTTATGTTTCAAACGCTTGATCTCTGGCTTTATATATATATATATATATATATATATATATCGTTCTCTCTCTCTCTCTCTCTTTCTTTCTCTCTCTTTCTCTTCCGTTATTTCTTTCTCTCTCTCTCTTTCTCTCTTTATGTTCCGTTATCTCTCTCTCTCTCTATGTTCCTCCCCCTCTCTCTCTCTCTCTTTGATGTTTCTCTCTCTTTCGCTCTCTCGGCCTCGCTCCCTCTCTCTCTCTCTCTCTCTCGAGGGGAGATCAGGAGAGAGGGGGAGAGAGGGAGACACAGACCACAAAAAAGAAAACAACTCCGTAACCACTTTGGCCCAAGACACGTTGGCTCCAGCAATCGCACGTTGCCGCCACGCACCCCGCCCTGGAGCGTGCTATGTCGGCGCATAAGAGGTGCTCCTGCGGCGCTGGACGGCGCCAGCCTCGTGGAGGCTGCCGTCCGCGCGGCGATCCTCGCGGAGGTCGGGGGGAACGAAAGGGGGGTATCGCAAAGGAGAGGGTAGAGAATCTGCTCACGTAGCTGCTCTTCCCGGGGCCTCCCGGCGCCGGGAGGCGCCCGTGCGTCGAGGAATGGGCCCGGCGGTGGGGCCGAGACCAGCTCCGTGCAGCAGACTTCGTACCCCCCCCTTTCCCTATCCCCTCTTTCGCTCGGCCCGAGTAGGGCGCCAGGCGCACGGTGGCCGCGGTGGCCCGGGCGACGGCCGCGGCGGTGCTTTCGGCACGCGCGGCGCCGCCGCTCAGCCTGCTGCTCTGTATGCGGCCGCCTCGGCGGCCAGGCTGGAGCGGCGGCGTCGCCGCCGTCAGCGCCTCGCGCTTCGACGGCGAGAGGCTGCGGGTGCGGCTGATGGTGCCGGGCAGCGTCAGCAGTGCGCGGAGACACAGAACCCCCCCCCAAAAAAAACAACAACAACAACAACAACAACAACAACAACAACAACAACAACAACAACAACAACAACAACAACCATTCCAAGACTGTTCGCTACTACCGGCCCGCGTGTCATTCACTATGCATATCCCAAACCGTGGATACCCGCCCTCTTCGTCTTCGATCGTACCCTATTTTGGGAGGTTATGTTCCTTTCTGGCCACGTGTAATTGGAGAAGCCCCGAACCAGGGAAACGAAAGGAAAAAACAAAAAAAAAAAAAAAAAGAGGACGAAAGGATCGGAGGAAGGGAGGGATGAGAGGGGCAAGAGGGACGGACGACGATGATTTCTACCAATGATGTCGGGCCTGACTTGGCAATTTGGCGGGGCCTCTGTGGGCGCGTTCGGGGCCTCTGTGGGTTGCGGCAGGGGCCTCTGTGGGCAGCGTGGCGGGGCCTCACTGGGCGCGTCTGAGGCGGGAGCCGTTGTTGTTGTTGTAGCCGGGGGCCCAGGGACACAGTTTGGCCCGGATGATTTCCCCTCTCAACTAAACAGAATGCGAGCGTCGAAGGGCGCACTTTGACTGAGAAGTGGGCAGCGTGGTGGGGCCTCTGTGGGCGCGTTCGGGGCCTCTGTGGGCTGCGTCTGGTGCCTCAGTGGGCAGCATGGTGGGGCCTCCGTGGGCGCGATCGGGGCCTCTGTGGGCTGCTTCTCGGGCCTTAGTGGGGAGCGTGGTAGGGTCTCTGTGGGCAGTGTGGCTCAATGGGCGCGTGCGGGGCCTCTGTGGGCTGCGTCAGGGGCCTCAGTAGGCAGCGGAGTGGGGCCTCCGTGGGCGCGTTCGGGGCCTCCTTGTGGGCTGCGCTTGGGATCTCAGTTGGCAGCGTGGTGGGGCCTCTGTGGGCGCGTTCGAGGCCTCTGTGGGCTGCGTTTGGTGCCTCAGTGGGTAGCGTGGTGAGTCCTCCGTGGGCGCGTTCGGGGCTTCTGTGGGCTGGTTGGGGGGCCTGAGTGGGCAATTTGGCGGGGCCTCTGTGGGCGCGTTCGGAGCCTCTGTGGGAAGCGTGGCGGGGCCTCACTGGGCGCGTCTGAGGCGGGAGCCGTTGTTGTTGTTGTTGTTGTTGATCATTATTTCTTCTTAAGAATAATTATTGTTGGGACCCCTGGTGCACGACCCCCCCGCCGCGCCTAGGCCGCAGCCTCATTTTCATCATTTTCGTGAGGAAGTCTCAGGTAAAACGATGTCATCCAGATCCGGTTGTTTTGTTGACGCCCGCTTTCCCTGTCAAAAAACATCTATAAAATGACATGTATTGTTCTAACATAACCAAACTTCAAGAATCCTTTGCAACAAATGACACGAAGTGCACACTCGCGCGCGCAAGATGAAATCCTTCCAAAACCTTAGTTTTCGTAGCGATTTTAACATAAAAACATGAAAACCCAATGGTTTTTCAAACAAAAAGTTTCAAAAATTCATCCCGCGCGCTCTTGCGGATTTCTGAGGAAACCCAATATGTTTTCAACATTTCTGTCAAACGGGCTCTTGCGAGCAACTTTTTCACGTGCTTCGAACTTCTGCAACAACGGTTGTGCGCATGCCAGGGCCATCATCCCTGTCAAATAATACCATATGGGAAACACATTCGTTTTTTCTTCGCGCGCGCACGCCGTCGTCGTCGGCCGCGGGGCCCTGAATAGTAGCCACGGTCGTCCGCATGCCACGAAGTGAAGTGTCCGAACGTCATAGGGCGGGAAGCTGGGTGTGGGTGGTGGCGAAGAGTCGTATGGAAATTTGGTAGAGCTTGAACCGGCCCCCCCACAAAGTGGGGGTATTGCCCGCCTCCTATGAAAACCCTGGCACTGGTGAGAACGGAGTGTCCCCAGTCTTAAATGATTGTTGGTGTTGTTGTTGTTGTTGTAGCCGGGGGCCCAGGGGCACAGTTTGGCCCAGATGACTTTCCCTGTCAAATAAACCGGATGCGAGCGTCGAGGGGCGCACTTTGACTGAGAAATGGGCAGCGTGGTGGGGCCTCTGTGGGCGCGCTCGGGGCCTCTGAGGGCTGCGTCTGGTGCCACAGTGGGCAGCGCGATGAAGCCTCCGTGGGCGCGTTCGGGGCCTCTGTGGGCTGCGTCAGCAGCCTTAGTGGGCAGCGTGGTAGGGCCTCTGTGGGGCCTCCGTGGGCGCGTTCGGGACCTCTGTGGGCTGCGTCAGGGGCCTCAGTAGGCAGCGGGGTGGGGCCTCCGTGGGCGCGGTCGGGGCTTCCTTGTTGGCTGCGCCTGGGGGCTCAGAGGGCAGCGTGGTGAGGACTCTGTGGGCGCGTTCGAGGCCTCTGTGGGCTGCGCCGAAGGCCTCAGTGGGCAGCGTGGCGGGGCCTCCGTGGGCGCGTTCCGGGCTTCTGTGGGCTGGTTGGGGGGCCTGAGTGGCCAATTTGGCGGGGCCTCTGTGGGCGCGTTCGGGGCCTCTGTGGGTTGCGGAAGGGGCCTGTGCGCAGCGTGGCGGGGCCTCACTGGGCGCGTCTGAGGCGGGAACCGTTGTTGTTGTAGCCGGGGGCCCAGGGGCACAGTTTGGCCCGGATGACTTTCCCTGTCAAATAAGCAGGGTGCGAGCGTCGAGGGGCGCACTTTGACTGAGATATGGGCAGCGTGGTGGGGACTATGTGGGCGCGTTCGGGGCCTCTGTGGGCTGCGCCGACGGCCTCAATGGGCGGCGTGGCGGGGCCTCCGTGGGCGCGTTCGGGGCCTCTGTGGGCTGGCCCGGGGGCCTGAGTGGGCAATTTGGCGGGACATCTGTGGGCGCGTTCGGGGCATCTATGGGCTCCGGCAGGGGCCTCTGTGGGCAGCGTGGCGGGGCCTCACTGGGCGCGTCTGAGGCGGGAGCCGTTGTTGTTGTTGTTGTTGTTGTTGTTGTTGTTGTTGTTGTTGTTGTTGTTGTTGTTGTTGTTGTTGTTGTTGTTGTTGTCGTTGCTGTTGCTGTTGCTGTTGTTGCTGTTGTTGCTGTTGTTGCTGTTGTTGCTGTTGTTGCTGTTGTTGCTGTTGTTGCTGTTGTTGCTGCTGTTGAATTCTCACTCTTGGAGAATGATTTTTGTTGATCCCCCCCACCGGTGCACATTGATTTTGTTTAATTGAAGTGCTCCCCCCGGGGCTCGCACCTTGTTTTATGTCAAAAAATATTCCTGCTCAAACTGGCCCCCTGGCCCCCGGGTTACAACAACAACGGCTCCCGCCAGAGACTTCCTCACAATTTAGCCAGGACCACCGCTCCCGCCCGAGACCTCCTCGCATTTC